TGTGCTTTTCATATACAATTGTGGGAACACATTTGAATATCTTAATCATATTGAATTATGTTTTGTTTTTTCTTAATAAAATAAATAAAATCTAATTAAATTACAATGACAATATAAATCTAAGATCAACATAATAGGTTAATGTAAGTTTAAACATACATTCATTGTAACAAGCGGTAATATATCATCAGTCATCAAAACAAATTTTGTTGAATATTTATGTTATTAGTTTAGTCTGAACATTAAAATACTTCATTTTGATTATATGAATTAATCTCAGTGTTAATGAAAAGTAAAGACAAATGAAAAAATATATATATACCAGTTTGAAGGAAGCGCTGATGATGATTCTGTTGAATACGACGGTGAACTTTAGCTATTTGATCCACTTGAACATAACACAATCGAACTCACTAACCTAAGCTACATATGGTCTCCAAACTGACAGATATAAATAATAAGCACCACACAATCATTACAAAATATTTGTTTTTAAAATGAATGGTTAAAACTGAGGAATATGAGATGTTAAGCAACATTAAAACTCAGGATTTCATAGAAGAGGAAGCAATCTATGTTGGTATAGGCCGTTTCGATGTAAATTCTGGGCTTCATCGACTAGTTTATTTCTTGTTTACCTAAAACTGTAGTCATAACTTTGCAAATAGCTCACTTATTTATTGTACTATAATATAATCTACCTTTAGTTGTTGTTTAAGAATAAAGTCAAATGTTTGGTATTTGGTTTTTTACAGCTTCGAATGGTAGATGCGTTTGTATAGAGCATATTTTTGAGGTCTACGTGGACTGCTCTACAAGATCAAAACTGTATCAGTTTAACTACCTTCCCAGATTCACTTAAAGAAACATGAAATCAAAATAGCAAGCTGAAAGAACCTTTCAGGTACCAACGAAGAGAAGACAAATTAAAGTCCAGTTTGAAAACCACTTTTAGCGATCATGATAATCGGTCTCTCATGTAATCGGTCGCTCATGTGATATTCTCTTTGAATTCACTCATAAGTTTCTTATTCTAACAGGTTTTTTTTGAAATTATGAGACACTTTATGATAAATTTCATACTCAAGTCTATCTGCTTATTACATTTTATCATTTCACTGCTATTTGCTGTACACCATGTTTAGTGTTAAGAATCAGTTTGTATAAATTAGGAGCAAGCACCGAAGATGTGATACAGAATGACAATGAATGCTTCATCATTATTCCAAATAGCTCATCAACAAGCATTTCAAATTTCTGTTAGTTAATAGTCAATTACGTAATATAAGAATCAAATACTACCTCACAGGATGTAACAGATAACTTGTGGTACTAGGAATGAATTCTTCCTTGAAGTATAAGTTGCCTCAACGTATAATTTCGGTTGCTTCAATAGACAATAATTTATATAGATATCCAAACTACTTTAAAAATTGGACAATTTGAAAGATATACTGAAACTAAAGGATGATCTTGCTGGAAACACTCACTAAAACATGTGCGAAAGTGTAGGTCTAATGTTTCTAACAATGATTTATACTATAGTAGTTCAACAGTCTAGTTATAAAATATAGTAAGACTGATTTTCCTCATCACTTCCCACAAAATAATACACTGCAGTCTAATTTGATTCATTATTTCATCATTTGTTTTAGATTTTTCTTCTTTTCCATTTGTCAGTTAAAACAGAAATATAACAGTATTACCTAACGTCTATTGTCACCACAAGCCACAAAGGAAAATCTAGTTGATAAGTTGTCATTATGAATGCATCATCATCTTTATTACTGACTCAAAGCTAAATGATTAGTATTTCTGAATTTAGTCACTTCAAAATATAAATCAATTATCATTCGGTACCGTTTATGATCATATCTGTCTTGATCTTGATCTTGAAACGGCTGTATTCCATCGGTTACTAATTACCAAGTGAATCTATAACGTAGACTATTTACACATTAAACTGATATCACCAGTTGTTTATATGTATATGTTGAATTTCATCTAATGCTTACATGATCTTATATATGTACACCATAATAAAATCATTTAATATTTAACTTAGATAACTCATCTAACATTCAAACCTTCGATTTAATTCTCCAAATTTGTCTACATTCCTGAAGTGTCGGCTATTATGTTAAACCCACATAACTTATTCTAGTTTCTAGACAGGCTTATTTATCCATTCTTCTTGAGTCACATATTGACCTTGCTTATTATTCACTTATCAACCCTGACTGATTTTATATAAGCGTATATGTGCACACTTTTTATCCTATTGATCATATGTTTGTAACCTATTTTTATCTGGCTGTAAATATTGATTAACGCTTTATTAAATGGAGTTAGCTTACATGCCTTCTCCACTGCACGTCGTTTCGCTTCGTTTCTTCGATAGTGTCTTTGTTCAGATCAACGATTTAATGAAATATGCACATTCGAAATTCATTTTCATATTTTACTTATTTAATTCTATCATACACTAACTCGAGTAAAGTCAATGATTATATACGAGAATTGACGATATATATCTCGACATGTATATCTCAATCAGTATCAATCATACAACCCAACTGGAGTCAGAATCCAGGCCATTAAATTACCATCGATATTCTGTTTTCTATAAACCAACTATATTTTTCATACAGAAAAATTAATTTCAAATTCAATAGTCAAAAGTCAAAAGAATAAAATGTTTTATTCTTAAATGTTAGAAATAAGATAGAAGATAGCAATATGGATGCGCACTTCTGAGGAGTCCCACAATAGGATGAAACAGCCGTCCAATGCTTCCACGTTTTCCATGGTGGTCTAGCTTCAATTAACTCATGATCTCAACTACTGAAATTACTACAATTGTCTTTCATGTATCTTATTTTGATAATTGTATGAGTGGTATAGGGGATTTGTGCAGATTGTGAAAGTTTTACAGTTTTAGTCACTCACTGATCTTATTTAGATCATGTATTGGAAACCTGGAAAGTTGTTTGCTCTAGTAGGGGAGTCCTCATCAGTGCACATTACTAACCAGTCATGATCACTTCGTGACTACAACCATAAAAATTGTAAAATATTCACAAACTCATCTATGATAATATTAATCATGTGCTCACTAGTGACTAGCCTCAAATTGCAATTCCTGGAGTCTTAGTAAGTTGCCGTAACCAATAAAGTTCATATGTATCGGGTATGTGGAATTAACTCACTGAAAACAACGAAAGATGACTGCCCAGTATCATAGATTGATTTTAGTCAGAAATATATACCACTGGATGCCGGCTCAGTTGTTTAGACTTTAAACTTTCACTTATGAGACTTGAATGCCCTGAGTTTGATTCCCTATGACTGAGTCGTGGATGCGCACTGTTGAGTGGTCCAAAGCCAGGCTGAAACAACTGTCTAGTGCTTTTGGTTTTCAATGACAGTCTAGCTATAATCAGTTCGTGAGTTAATCTATGAAAAATGCGTCAGCTAAGAATTTAAGTATTCAAAAATTGGTGGCGGATGAATATAAGACCACGATTGATAACCTGAAAGCACTGGATACCCGTTTCGTCCTAGTATAGGACTCCTTAACAGTGTGCGTCCACGGCTCCGCCTCACGAGATTCAAACCCAGGACCTGTCAGTCTCGCGCGCACAAACGCTTAACCTCTAGACCACTGAGACGGCCGGCATCCAACCGCATTAATGTCTAACTTTAACCAATTCACAAAATTGCGCCACCTTCCACCATTGTTTTCAATGTGTTAGTATCTCACAATAGACCCAGATGAACTCCATTAGTTAACGTCACAAAACATAGTACATTTTGTTTAGAATGTATACTGAATCAACTCATTAAATATTAGTGAATCATCAGAAATGTAATCTTGTCCATAATTAGTTAAGGATAAGATCTAATAGCAGTTTCCTTTTTTAAATTTTATTTAAAGGATAGTTCATAATTCAAAAACTGGTCATTCATATAGTTTTTGGATCATATATGGTATGGTATTTTATAATCGGATTGAACTAAGCTTCATTACTTGGTTAATGATTTTATGATTTCTTTAAACTAATCGTTAAATTCTATTGAATAGAATATTGTGTATTATAGAAAAGTATGTAATGTCAAATTATTCATTTCTTGTGTATTAGAACATAAGATATTGATTATACACACATATCACAAAGTAGTTTGTATTATCACTATAATATTATATGTGTTAGGTGACATTTATTTATTTGAACACATAAATATTGGTACAAAGGGGTACTGGAAACAGGTGCACCACAAAATTCACTTGATTTATGTATGGGCTATGATACTACCCGGGTGCCCAGACCGAAACAAGTGGTTTCCTTAGGGGACCAAACCCAAAGCCTTCGACCTAAAGGTCTGGTCCACAAGGCAGTTGATCAACGTCAGGAGATGCAGTCCCATAATCGACGGTCACCAACAATTCGTTCATACGCGATTTATTCCTTCAGGATCCTGGAGCTCATGTGCACCGGTGGTACGGAATCGGGGTTTCGCAACTCCCCTAGTTAGATCCTCCATATCCATCAACGTGGTTAAAGCACCGGACATTCGCTTTACGTCCTCTCGATTTCGTACACAACATTCCTGCCACGAGAAAGTAGTTAGTAGAACTTCCCTGGCAGTAACTGTATACATGTGGCCATATGAGAGCATTTCGAGAAAGAGAACGGACTCTCCTCACCCTCAGCCGTACCAGGGTATTCGGCGGCCAAATATTATCAAAAAGAAATATCAGTATCCAGGATCAGATTAATATACTAAAATATTGATCAATCATTTGAATAAATGAAAAAAATCTATACTCTTTGATATTTGATTCCCTAGAACTGACTAATCAGTATTTAATTAACCTTATATATATATAATTATCTTATTTAGTTTCAAATTATTCAATATTATAGCTAAATAAGAAGTTTATTTGAATCTTTTACCGATATAAAATGTACACATTAATAAAGAAGAAAATAACTTACTTTTCTTGTAGTGCTTTAGTCCAATCATCAATAGGTACTTTTAAACCAGATGTTAAACTAATTGTTGGTAAATATGGTAATTCTAAACAATGTACAAATAGTACTTCATCACCAGGTCGATAAACTTCTTTAACAAACCATTCAATTGCACGTTTAGAATGATCACTTCCATCTACTGGAAGACATATTCTTCTTTTTTTACTTGTTTGATCCATAATAATAATAATAATAATAATAAGATATATGAAATATGGATTGTATTATTTCTTTCTATTAAGAAATCCAAGTTAATGTATGAATAATATTACTCAATTTGATTATAATTATAATGATATTATATTTCACCTATTATTTACTCTTATCTTTTTATTCAATTCCTATTGGTTATGATCAATGTTAGTAACCAACTCTATTGGTTGCTTTGTGGTCACAGGATTAAGAGAATAAAAACAAATCTGATACTCGTATTCATGTGTGTATTATTATAGATGGTATATTTTTTAAAATGTAATATTCATTATAATTTGAAAAAAAGTCATTATATAATTGTTATTGCCTTAGCAACGTTATATTTCATTATTATATAATACCGGAGAACGAAATATTTCAGGTTGTTATTCCAAGTGAATTTTATGTATGGAGATTGATTGATTTCAGTCTAGTCAGTTTCCATTTTTTTTTAAACATAAGTGGTAAAACAATCTTGACTTTTCTAACAAAACATGAGCGCATAGAATAAGTGAGTTTTTTCGAAGTTCAAAAATCCCACGATTTATGGATCTAATTTGATTGAAGTGGTTTAAAGAATCTTGAGGGAGTTTTTGAAGTCAGCAAGTATTTGAGTGAAAAAAATTGTTTCTAATAAATTCTTCATTAGACTAGTTAAATGTATATCGATAATTACAGTGGACATTATAATACTGTTATAATCAAGAGGTAGGTGATACAGCATATTTACAACTGAAGAACATCTGGAACTCAAAACAACTGTCAACCAACATCAAACTCATAATTTTCAATACAAATGTCAACACAGTTCTACTGTATAGGGCGGAAACTAGAGGACTACAAAAGCCATCATCCAGATGATAAAAGTGTTTATTAACAGTTGTCTACGCAAAATACTTCGGATCTGTTGACCAGACACCATCAATAATGACCTACTGTGGGTGAGAACAAACCAGATCCCAGAGGAGGAAGAAATCAGGAAGAAATGCTGGAAGTGGATAGGACACACAATGAGGAAAGCGCTCAACTGCGTCACAAAACAAGCCCTTACTTGGAATCCCCAAGGCCAAAGGAGGAGGAAAGAAAGACCAAAGAACACATTACGTCGAGAAATGGAGACAGACATGAGAAGAATGAACAAAAACTGGATGGAATTAGAAAGGAAGGCTCATGACAGAGTGGTTAGGAGAATGCTAGTCGGCGGCCTATGCCCCATTGGGGGTAACAGGCGTAAGGAAGTAAGTATTTATGATGCCCTTAACAGGCAAAAGACTGAAAGAATGATTATTTCATAGGTTTATTTAGTTGACAAAGTCCTAATGTCAATAACCTTTACTAACTGTAAAAATGGAGATGATCAAACCTGAGATACTTTATTGGGACTCTATAGATGATTATAAACAGCACAGTTTTATCACTTATGTGCTCCATATGAAAAAAATGAAATGGAATTAAACTTTTGACAGATTTATTAAGTTAGTTATCTCATAACTTTGAACAGTCTTCGAAAATGTGCGAAATGACTTATTCGTTTTACTTATATAGTTGCTATTACAAGACTTATAAATACTGATAGAAGTAACAGGATTCAGAATCTCTTCGTTCGTCTACGTCAACAGCATAAAAAACGTTGATAAAATGGTTTTATTGATCGAACTTTCAGAATTTATTTTTCGAAAATAAAAGTGTTATAATTTGTCGTTTGAATACTTATTGTCTTGGCTCTTTTAATGCTACTTTTTGTATCTGGTCCTCACTGATTGTTATGTTGGAAACGCTTATCACTTGTAATCGGAACGAGGGACCTCAGCAATGCCCATGACGCGAAAGTAAGAACACAAAGACTGGTATAGGTGATCATTTATTAACCCAGAACATGACGATGACAACGCTAGTGGAAAATACACTCATTTATATATTGATTGTACACCCATTTCGATTAATAATTAGAATGTAATCACATATATGAAACATACTTAGAGTTATAACAAATCACATATAGAGCATAGTTCATGTCAATGGAATACAAGAATATCATATACTATATAGAATAAAATATCAAACGAGAGAATAAAACAAATACTACATTGAGTAATTATTACATTGAATCAAAACGGAAGTAATCTTGAACTAAATTCATAGTGAGTAAATCAGTGGAATTTTGACTTTTCTTTCCATCATATCAAAAAGTAAGATAATATTTTACAAGTTGAAATCATGAGTCAATTGAAAGTAGACCACCATGGAAAACCTGGAAGTACTGGACGGCCGTTTCGTCCTGGTATGGGGCTCCTCCCATTCTGATAATATTTTACATTAATTATGAATAGTAAACGAATTCTTAAAATTACTTTTGAAATTGTTTTCCTGATAAAGGGTTTTTCATAAATAGTTTCGATCTGATCCCACTACCTACAGTATAATTTAGGCTAATTTTATCATTAATATTATAATTTTTCATATGGATGGTTAACTTTAAACCACTAAATTGGTATCTAATGTTTTACGTTTTCAACTTTGGTTAGTTCACAATATTGCATAAATGCTTACTGTGGTATCGGTTATTATGTTTTGCCCATATAAAACTTATTCTCGCTTTCGGACAAGGCCTATTTATCCATTCTTCTTGAGTCACGTTTTGAGCTTGATAATTATTCAACTATCAACCCTGATTGTTTTTTTATATGAGCGCCTATGTGTGTGCCCTTCTTATACTATTCACGACATGTCTGTAGCTTAATTTTGTGTGACTATAAATATTGATTGACGCTTGATTGAATGGAGTTGGCTTACATGCCTTCTCCATTGCGTGTTCGTTTCGCTTCGCTCTTCTCTCTTCGCTCCATTCCTCAATCGCCTGTTCAAATCAATGAATGCATGAAATATACACACCCAAAATCCATTCTCGTATTCGGCTTGTTTAATTTCGTTATTCACTAACACGAGTTAAGTCGATGATAATATACAAGGATCGACGATATCTATACCTCAATAGTAATCAGAAACGATCTCACTGGAGTCAGATCTTGGGCCACTAAAGTGGTGAGCCCGATGACAAAATTGTCCGATCTAAATGATGAAAAAATAAAGGGCTCCACTAAATTATCCGCTGTCTTATTCCTTATTTCTTTAAGCTTTAGCGATCAAAAATTTTCACCAGATTTTCCTATATTTACTTCAAATTTAGTTATTAATGAACATATGTACTCACTTTAAGGTCGAAAGTTCCTAAGTTGTTGATGCATACAATTTAGGAGTTCTATGCTAAAAAGCAATAACTGTGTTAATGTTCCCTGACTTATTTTTACTGATTATCTATTTAACGTCAATCAGTAATATAGTCTATCTACAAAACGTTTTTATAACTAACAATTAAAAACTAAAAATTATATTTTTTACTTCATTTCTCGTGATTAATAGAGTTAACTGTTTGCTTTATTTGGTCCACCAGGGTGCTTGGTACTTGTGTGGTCGCACCACAGGATTGAGCAGTACTATTCAGATTGTAACGCTAAAGCCTGGTTCTCTTGTAAAGCAGGATTGAGCTGTACTGCTCGAGTTATAAAATTTAAGCCTGCGCGGTGTTTGGCTCTCCTGTTAAATGGGATTGAGCCGTACTGTTTGGGTTGTCACGTGAAAGATTTGATATTTAGTGAAGAACCAATAATTAATTTATCTTACTAATTAAGGGGTGGGATAGATATAAATAATAATTTATTGGTCTGTATCGATGAAAAGTTGTTTGTCATGGATTTACTGTTGAAAAAATGATAACTTGATTGATATTAGTGTTTAGTGGCCCATAGATCTGACTCCAATTAGATCGTATGGATGTTTGCTATCGCCTATTCTCGTATATAATCGTCGACTTAATCGCGTTAGCCAATAACGGAATTAAATAAGTCGAATAACGAGAATTGATTTGTGAATACATATATTTTGTATATAAAGTGAATGAAACAGAGCCAAGCAAAATGACACGCAGGGAAGATGGCTGGGAAGCCAACTCCATTTTAGTCAAGCGTTACTCAATATTTATAGTCAGACAAAATAAAGCTACAGACATGTGATTAATGGGATAAGAAGGGCAAACACATATACGCTCATATAAAAACAGTCTAGATTGATAAGCGAATAAATAACAAGGTCAAAGTATGGCTCGAGTAGAATGAATAAAATGGGATGTCCGAAAGCTAGAATAAGGTAATATGGGCTTGGCACAACAACTGACACTACAAATGTTAGCAGAAAGTTTTGTACAATTATTATATGATTATTCTTCATGAGTAAAAATGAATTTAACCTAACATTACATTCAGTAGATGGGATATCTAATGTATCCAAGTCGGTGAACATTAGCCTTTCACTGTACGTTATTGAGAGTTAGTTTAATAGATAGTGAAGTTTAGGCCAATGTCTGTCGTTCATTGTGAAATTTCTTGATATTGGTATAGAAAAGATAACAGCAGGGATTTGAAGGATTCTAGTATAAATCCATCAATTTATTTCCGAACACTTCATTTACAAACCTTGTACCACACGTAATGTTATCCAAAATTAACAAAGACTACCTTTAACATCTGTATACATCAAATTTATAGATTACTTAAAAGTTGTAATTGTTTCTTCGTGCAGTTTTGAAATCTATGATATGGGTGCATTAACATACATACTTATCATACTTCAGACATTCATCAAAGTGATTTTCTTTCTTGTAAGTTCATCTAAGAATCTCAAATTCGATTTCATCTTAATTTGACTATGTACTCAATTGTGGAATCTAAAACCATGTAATGAAAATGGCTAAGTAGAATCACACGTGTTGCTCCATTAAGAAAAAATGTAAAAGCAGTTATTTGAATCCTCTTCAGCTGTAATGATAATAACAATCACTCTTTACTGGTAATGGAAATATCCATAGATACGTCATTCAGTCATCAACAGAATGTTTTAGTTCTCCTACTAAGAATTAATGGCTCTTAACTGTTGCCTCATATTATTGTAATAC